CTATAACAAATTGGGTGTTTTGGGATTGATTAAACAGTAATTTATTTTTTAACTAATGAATAATTTTAGATAAAATGACTTTACTAATTCTTCCTCATTTCTCGAAGGATTTTTAAATAAAATTTTCCTTATAGTCTATTAAAGTGAAAAAACAGCCAGATGATCTGTTTATCCCAATATTGTTATACACTTCATGGTGGATTTTTACTTCTTTATTTATTTGATCTTTTAATTCTGGTTTAAATTTTTTGTAGATAGAAGTGATTGTGTTTCTTAACAATTTGTTGCATTCATTTTTAGATTATAGTTTATACAAATTAGATCTTTTGTCTACTTTTATTAATGTTTTATGCGACGTACATATGGATTTTAAGTCTGTTTCATTCTTGAAAACCTTGAAAAAAATAAAATCATTAAATTTTTTTTAAATCTTGAAAAAATTATGTCACTATTTTTACGTTGCAAAATTTTATTGATTTAACTAAGTTTATTAAATCTTTTTTGAAGAAATTTCATTTATTTGTGGTGGACATTTTGAAGATTTGATTCTCTAGTCTAACCCTCAGAATTTGAAAAAATGAGGTTGGCAATAGTTTGCCGATCTCAATCTTTTAGAGGTCGGCAAAAAAAAGTTGATACAAAGGTCTTACCATAAGTCATAGAAATGAGGTTTGCAATTTTTTGTTGACCTCAAACACTTTAAGGTCAACATTACCAAATGCTGACCCTAATTCCAAAGGAGTTTTCGACAGCGTCAACCATATTTGGGCCTAAATAAAAATCTGAGGACTTTTTTTTTTTGTGGCAAATATTTTTTTTTTGAGAGAAAAATTTTTCTGTTAAATTGTTTTAACCGAGGAGTACCTCCACACAAATTTTTTTCCTCGAATAGCCCCTGTATGTATGTATGTATGTATGTATGTATGTATGTATGTATGTATGTATGTATGTATGTATGTATGTATGTATGTATGTATGTATGTATCTATCTATCTATATATATATATCTATATATATATATATATCTATATCTCTATATATATATATATATATATATATATATATCTATATATATCTATATATATATATATATATATATATATATATATATCTATATATATATATATATATATATATATATATATATATATATATATATATATATATATATATATACATATATATATATATATATATATATATATATATATATATATATATATATATATAACCTTTGGAATTAGGAAAAATGTGGTTGGCAATAATTTGTCAAACTCAATCTTTTTGAAGTCGACATCAGGTCGGCAAAAACTATTTGATACAAAGGTCTGACCATAAAACATAGAAATGAGGTTGGCAATTTTTTGCCAACATCAAGCACTTTCAGGTCGGCAATTAGGTCGGCATTCCTGAATGCCGACCCTAATTCTAAGGTTTGTATATTAGGGTGACAATTTTTTTGCAAAAAAAAAAAAAAAAAAAAAAAAACTGCATCTAATTCTTTTCTACACCCCTAAGTGATATTAAAACTGTTTTGGTTTTGTTTTAAGGACTAGTAATCAGATGATTTCATAATTAACTATAATTTCAAAATTTCTTTGTTTGTCGTCAATATTTTTTTTACTTCTTCAAAATGTATCATTTGGAAAAGAAAAATTGTAATTTAAAATTTAGTTTTTCATTCAATGAATAGAATAACATTGCATTGCAAAACATTTTACTGAAGTTTTGAATATTTTTAAACAGTTAACAAAACTACTAATAAAAAATTGTGCATATAGAAAAGTCTTAGTAAACATAGTTCAGGTAAGGTTTAATACCGGTATTATTCAGTTTTAACTTTTAGGATTTAAATTTAATGAATTGTTTTTAAATTAAATAAAAATAAAAAATAAACATTAAACATTATTTATGTTATAGCTAACATATAAACACAAAGATGCAATCAAGTATTGAAAAAATAGCGAAACATGTTGGACATCTAAATGTCAGTTGTAGGAGGTCCCTTTATCTTCTTAAATCTCCTATTTCGTTTTTACCTCTGAATCAGCTTCCAACTAATGGATTACTTCTAAGACATCAATATTTAATCAGTAGTAGATCAAAATGATTCAAAAGTATTTACGATAATTTTATTTCAATAACATAAAATGCAAAGGAAAAACAACGTGTTATCAGGAAAATGGGGATTTGTGTCTTCTTAGAAAAATAGTGAAGATCTGGGAGTCCTGTGGCTTTAAAAACTATATTGCTGGAGAGGATAAAGTATTATCAAAATTTGTAAAACTTCACAAAAAATGGGTATCAATGACCAAAGGAAAGTTGCTAGTTTGGAAAAATGACACTAAAGAAAAGTTAGTTGAAGAATTTCAAGCAATCATGGAGACTCTTTTTGAAATTGGAAAATCCAATATTAATGAGCTTATACAACTCAATCAAGATATGCCCAGAAACAAAGAGAGTAAAGATGAAGATTTAGCATTTTTGGAAGATCAGAAAAATGCTAGAAAACAGTTTATAAGCGGGCATATAGATAAAGAAGTTGAAGAAAAGATTGTAAGTAGACAAGAGAGATACCGTAGATATATAGATTATAAGAAAAAAATGTCAATAGAGGCTGAATATCATAATGACAAGAACAACTATTATTTAGAAGATTTAGAACCCTCAATTAAAAATGCTGATGGAAATTATTCAAATGAGAAAAAATTGATATCTGAATCAGGTAATTTTATCATGAAAAATCTAAATCGTATATTTTACACGTATAAACTGAATAAAAAGAATAAACTGAGTGTACTTTTTCATTTTCATTTTTTGTTAATATTATTGTAGATCTTTCGAATCTGACATTGATGGTAGGTAATACTAATTATAATTCTGATGAGGATGAGTATCAACAAAAAACATCAAACAACGCAAAAAAAGAAAATTAACAACATACCACTTATACTTTGACCTGATTTAATCCTTGTCGATAAAGAAATTACTTGAGATGGTCTAATTGCAGCTACAACTCCTCTCAGTGTAAGGACCAGTTTAAGTTACCAAGATCAAACAATAATTATAGCTAGTATTATGAACTACCTTGGAGTAAATATGAAAAAAATTAAGATAAATAGAAAAACAGTCAGATTGAAGCGTTATGAGGTTGTTCAAAATCACGGAAATGAAATTGGACAGAATTACATAGAGGAAATGAGAGGAAAAAATCTTGTCCTTCACTTTGATGGGAAACTAGTTACACATTTGTATAAGGAAATCCAACAAACAGTTACAAGAGATAGAATTGCTGTGTTTGTTACTAGCCCTGAATTTCAACACTAGGACAATCTTCTTTTAGGAATTGTCCCAAGTGACCCAGGTAAAGCATTTGATCAGGCTTTAGCAATTTAAAATTTGTTAGATTATTTTGAAGTTTCAGACTAAGTATTTGTTGTTTGTGTTAATACTACAGCAACCAACACTGGTAGGAAAGAGGGAGCAATTATAATATTGACAAGAGTATTTCAGAAACCTTTATTGTGGCTATTATGTCGACACCACATACATGAAATACATATTAAACATATTTATAAATCAATAACTGGAGATAACACCAAGGGTCCACGAAAAGCCCTTTACTCCAACTTTAAGAAGCAATGGGAAAATTTTGTCCCATTTTTATCTAATTATGGTGTCTCTTCTAGTTTTAAAAACTTTGATGAGAGTACTCTCATAATTGATTCTGGAATTAATCAAATGTACTTGAAGGCGAAAACATATATTAAATTTGTTCATGAATTTGAGATTTTCCCCCGAGATGATTACAGACATCTTGTGGAATACTTAGCTTTCTATCTTAATATTCAGTCTGACAAGCTAAAGAACTTTAGGATTCAGAAACCAGATGCCTGTCATAAAGCTAGATTCACGGCAGATGCATTATATCACATGGCTTTGGAATTGACATCGCTAGTTATAAAATACTTAAATCAAGACCAGCAGATTCTAGTCTCTAAAGTTTGTCTAATGATTGTTATATTTTATACTCCACGGTTTTTAAAATCCAGTCTTGCTGAACATTCAGTATTGGATGACTTCAATTCATTTAAAATAGCAAAAGTCATAAAGGAAGAATGGGATATTGATGTAGAAACTTCACTTTTAAATTTTTTTAATAGTCTTTCGTCTGTAGCAGTAGTCATGGCTCTTGGTGATTCTGACCTTAAAATTCAAATAAAGTCTGACATTTTGAAGGCCTTGTTGGAACACGAGGTTCCTGATATAAGTGAAATTAATAAAGAGAAACCACTTCCTGTTTTAGTAAATAAAAATACCAAACTTTGTGAACTTGTTACCTGTAAAAGCTGGTTTCTTTTTGTCGTTTTGAACTGAAGCATCCCAGAATAAAGAAGGTTTAGAGTCAATACCCTCATACAAAAAGTTAGTCCTTTTTATTAAACAACTCAGTGTCACAAATGATTGTTCTAAAAGAAACATTGAACTTACACAAAAGTTTGTGAACTCTTCACACTCTGAGGATCAGAGACAAGATATTTTGTTAGTTTTTCAAGAAAATCGAAAACAGATTTCAACAAAGAATGTTTATCAGAAAGATTTTGTTAATTTGAAATATATATTGTTATATAATGCTGTAAATGCAAACATGTTTTATTTGTTAAACTCTTTTGCTAATTATCTCAGATCGAAGTCAATATCACTAATAATATAAAACATTAATTATACTAACTAACATTTGCTTTTTTACATAAATTTTTTAATATGTTGGAAAAAAATGATGAATATTTAAATTATTGAAAAAATACATCTACCTGTTCCAATGATCCTAGTAAGCTAAAATTTTCAATATAAGCTAGTATACAGACGGAGAACAGGTATTTACACAGTGTATTTGCACTTTTTGAAAAAAGTTAAAAAAGTGCAAAAAAATTGTCACCCTATTGTATATATATAAAATAAAATTAAATAAATAAAAACTAAATTAAAAAGAAACATACACGCAAAAGCATGCGACACTCAGTTAGTTTTGGATTATAAACAGCTCGCTTTTGTCTGTGGTGTACATTATCTTTCTCGCCATTAAAAATCAAATAGTTCTCTAAAAAAAGTTTTGAAAAAGATGTTTATTGTTATGTAAAATTTTTCAAACAAAAGTTAAGAGCTGACTAAAGAGTTTAAATTTTTAAATAATCAAATTTTTTTAAAAAAATTAAGGAAACAAACAGAAAAAACAACATTTTGATTAAAAATAAACTAATTAATGTAAAAAAAAAAAAAAAAGAAGACATTAAATTTAATTTTGCAGAAGACAAAAAAATTTTCAAAACTATATATTTTATTTCATAACCTTTAGAATTTTCAAAACTAGTTTATATCTATAGTTTAATTTTTCTGAACTTAAGAGTAAATTGTAATAAAATTTAATGTTTTTTTTGTATGCACTATGTTCACAAAAAAAAAAAGAGAATAAAATTAGTAAAAACTACATTAACTCAAAAAATCAATTAAAATCGTTTATTAATTTTATTTGAAACTAAAATAATGTGAAGGTTTATTCATGATAAACTCATGTGTTTATAAAATAAACCACATGATATATAATAGGTATGTAAAAACAAATATATGAATAAAAAAACCGATCATTGATGTTTTTTAGAAATATTCACACTAAATTAGTGGCAACAATACAAACGCATGACATAATACAAACACATGACATAATAATTTATTTAAGTGTATAACTAACCTAGTGGTACTCCCCACTAACTTATTGGGGAGTACCAAAAGGATTAATTTTAGGACAATTTAGCTCAATTTTAATTATGCAGATACATACAAATCTAAAAAATTGTAATTTAAAAAGAATGAAAAAAAAAGTTTGTTGTTATAAAAATTTTCATGGATGCCGAGCAAACCATAAAGAGAAAGAATTAAACTTTTTATGCAATTTTTATATGACAATTTTTTTATGCATTCTTGTATGACATTAATATTATGTATACATCATAATTCAAATAAATCATTATAATCCTTCTTTATTTGAAAAGTGTGAAAATGATTTTTATGCAGTAAAATCTAAATTAACAATTTTTTTAAACTATAACTTTGGAAATCTAAACTATCTTCATTTAAAACCCATGTTGAGATGTATTATTATGGTATATATATATATATATATATATATATATATATATATATATATATATATATATATATATATATATATATATATATATATATATATATATATATATATATATATATATACATATATATATATATATTCATTTTTTACTTTCTTTAATATTATTATACATACATACATACATACATACATACATACATACATACATACATACATATATATATATATATATTCATTTTTTACTTTCTTTAATATTATTATACATACATACATACATACATACATACATACATACATACATACATATATATATATATATTCATTTTTTACTTTCTTTAATATTATTATACATACATGCATACATACATACATACATACATACATACATACATACATACATACATACATACATACATACATACATACATACATACATACATATATATATATATTCATTTTTTACTTTCTTTAATATTATTATACATACATACATACATACATACATACATACATACATACATATATATATATATTCATTTTTTACTTTCTTTAATATTATTATACATACATACATACATACATACATACATACATACATACATACATACATACATACATACATACATACATACATACATACTATATATATATATATATATATATATATATATATATATATATATATATATATATATATATATATATATATCAGCGTGAAAAATAAAGGCTGGTCAACGGTCAATGAATGCCCAAAATGATTAAAATTGCTATTTTGACCTCCCAAAATGCATTCTTGCTGGTCATGGTTGACTGGTTAAAAAAAATCAGAGTTTTGAAAAACAAAGTTTGAAAAAAATACTAATGATGTAATTTGGAAAATGGGTATACTTAAATTTCATAAAATCATTTAAGTTGTAAAAATGTGTTTAAAGAGGTTTTATTGTTTGCAATATGATACTTTAATTCATTTTATTGACGAATACTAGATATGATGTAAACTATTACAAATGTAAACTATTACGAATGTAAATTTTTTTGCTTTACTTATTTAGATTATTTTGATACAGAGTCGTTAAATTAAAAAATGTTCAAGCAAAAAAGTTTCTAATGAATTTCTCTGGTTTCTAGTAGCCTTAACTATCAGAATTTTTTTTTATGAAAACAAACTTAATATATATTTTAATATACTTAAAGCAGTAAATTTAATAATATAAAATTGTTTATGAACTATTAAAGTAAACTATTAATAAAAAGTTAATTTAATTCATTCTTTTGAAAAATAAAGATAAAAACCAGGCTGTTTTGTTGAAAAAAAAAAGAATAAAGAATAAATTTGCTTAAGCATCATTCTCATGTTAGACTTTTCACTTTAATGACAAGCTACCGATTTTACTGGTGGTAAAAATCCTTTCTGTTTTTATAAATGATTCATATTCTTATTTTATTATTGTTTTTATAAAAATATTTAATACATTATTTTAATAATAATATAATAACATATTATATTATTATTATATAACAAAATATTTTTAGTTATATCCAACATATATTATAATTGTTGTATTTAACTTTAAAAAAAGATCAAACTTTTCACTTTTTTTTTTAACTTTGCTTTTCTTTTCTTTAAATCTTAATTATTTTCTCGTACTTTTACCTCAAATTGCAATAAAAGAATGAGATAAATTTAAAATTATTTCTTTGCATTTAATATTAAGTATTCAATTTTAATAGCTTTGTACAATAGTGAATAACATTTTTGTTATCTAATTGACATTAGGATTTTTTTAAAATGATTTTAATAAGCAGAGATACAAAATGTGCAACTATTTTTCTTAAAGGTTATCAAATTTAAAGATTGTTCTTATTTTGTTATTATTTAAAATTGTTGTACATTATTAAGAACATTTTCTCTTTTAACTGTACTTTGTTTTTTTTTTTTATTTATTTTATCTTTTTATTTAATTTTCTTGTAGCTTTTCCAGCTATTTGTAAAACCATTGCAATGAATAAACTATTTTAAAATATATTTAAAATTATTATTAGTGCGTTTTTTTCTTCTGTTAATCAAGGAGTCAGACGAAGCATATATTTGAAAATTTATTTTAGTAACAACTTCGTTTTATGTAGCATAAGTAACTATAGTAGCATTTCACAAAACGATTTCTTTTAGTATAAAGTATTCTGTTTAAACATTTTAAATAATTTATAATTAATTAATTTGATATATTAAAAAAAAAAAGGTTCAAAATTAAATTACTTAGATGGTAATTCTTTTTTTAATTGAATGGAAATTTGTGCGCACAAGAATTATTTTTAACAAATTACATTAGCTGGTAATTTGAATAAAAGTTATTTGCGCTTCCATTTAAAAATGCATTGGTTTAATTTAAATTATTGTTTTAAAAGGAATACAAACTCATTAAATTTCTAGCATTATTCGCTTTTTTAGTATACATAAAATAAAGATAAAAATTAAATAAAGAAAAAAATTAAAATTTTGACCGTCCAAAAAAATCAATTGATTGTCAATTCCATGTGTTAGCTGGTCACTTTGACCACTCGTCTTCAATTTCTTATTTTCCATGCTGTATATATATATATATATATATATATATATATATATATATATATATATATATATATATATATATATATTATATATATATATATATATATATATATATATATATATATATACTTAAACATCTTCGCTTCCAACAAGGCTGGAAGCAACCACTAATTAGTGTTGGAAGTTACTGGAAGAGAAAAGATGAAGATTGTAGAGCAAGATAACAATTGACAGACGACTTAAAAGATTGCAAACTATATGAATCAGGAAAGCAAGATGTAGGAAGCGAATTCCAAAGTGCTGATGTTCGAGGAAAAAAACTAGACAAATAAGAGTTTTTGGAGCACTTAGGAACAGTAACAGAAAAAGGATGAGACTCAATTGAATGACGAGTAACACGAGAATGAATTTTAGTAGATGGCACAAGAGACGCTAGCTCTTTAGAGCAGTTCCCATTATAGTATTTGTAAAAAAGAGAAAGAGAAGTAACATTATGACGATGTGATAATGGTTGAAGGTTGGCTGCAAGAGCAGGTCCAACTATGTTTACAATGAGTTTTTGCACCTTTTCTAAAAGAGAAAGAGTGTCATTAAGATCTGCCCCAAATATGGCAACAGCATTCCATACAAGGCCGGATTTGAGATTAGAATCAAGAGTAAAAAAGTGTCGAGCTCGATAAAGAGATGCCATATATATGCCACTTTTTATATATATATATATATATATATATATATATATATATATATATATATATATATTATATATATATATATATATATATATATATATATATATACAATATATATATAAACAATATATACATATACAATATATATATATATACATTATATATATATATATATATATAATATATATATATATATATATACAATATATATATATATATATACATATATATATATATATATATATATATATATATATATATATATATATATATATATATATATATATATATATACACAATATACATATCAATCTTTGAAATTAGAACAAATGAGGTTGGCAATTTTTTTTTTAAATCAAATTTTTAGAGGTCGACATCAGGTTGGCAAAAAAAATTTGATACAAAAGTCTTACCATAATAAAACAATTATTGAAACAAGGTCGGCAATTTTTTGCCGATATCAAACACTTTGAGGTGGGCAGTTAGGTTGGCATTGCTGAATTCCGACCCTAATTCCAAGGGTTGATATATCACAAAAAAAGAGTTAATTTTTAATTAGAAGGACACTTTTTAAACGGTGATAATTCTGAACAAATGAAATATATAAAAATACTATACTTGAATTCCAATCAGTAAAATTTGGTTCAATGTTTTTAATTGGTTGAGCTATAATCCCTCCACATTTGAATGGAGTTGATAGTTTTATGTCTTTTACATTATATATCACTGAATGAACTTCCTCTGCATCAAGATTTTTGTATAGCTTTGCAGATTCTATGTGAAACTCTTCCCCCTTCCCATCATGTATTCTTCCTTCAAAAATATCATCATGTATAAATCCATGCACTAAAGAATCTGGATAACCTAAAATCATTAACAATAATGTTAAAAAGTAGCTTTCAAAATTCTATTTTAAATTCAATACAAAAATATTAACAAGAATATCATTTATTATTATACCTAGTAAATAACCAGAGTAAAAATTTTTAGGATGAAACCCAGTCGATGAATCAAAGCTAACATCATCTGTAAATAAAGATGTATCTCTGCGTAGACGCAATTTAAATTCTCTAAAAATTGAATCAATATTTCATGCTACTACTCTCAATTTAATAAAATACTGTATAAAAAAATGCAAAACTTAATATGTCAATCTAGATCTCAAAGGAGTGAAATGATATAACAATTTCAAAAATAATAATCATTTTATAAACTGATTATTTCAGATTTTTATGAAACAAAATTTTAAATATGATTTTTAAAATTTGAAAAAGTTAGTTTTAAAAAACAACTTTTACATCATTTTTAAATTTTTTTACATTTTTAACATTACATGGTTATTTAAAAATTTTTAAATTTACATTTTACATTACAATTTTTACATTTGTCGCCTAATGATTTAAAATGAAAGCAACAGGTTAATTATGGATACAATAAAGCAGTAGCTTTACATGCTTTTTTACATGCTTTTATATAAATGGTAAAAATTTTATAAAAATCATTCATCAGACCTTTGTTGGAAATATGCTGTAGTAGGTCTCAATATTTGTTGATAATATTAAAAAATTAAAAATTGAACAAAGATTAGTAACAAGTAACATGCCATTATTAATTAATTATTAATTAAGTTACAGACTTAATATACTTGATATCACAAAATTAGAGAGACAAAATATAAGCAGTGATTCAATTAAATAGTTAATAAACTAAATACATTGAAATAGTGCAACTTTGATTAAAATTAGCATTAATTAATAATAGAACATTAACAACACATGATTGCAATTATAAACTGAAATCTAAGGTGGCAAAAGACTGCACACCAAGATGCAAAAATGGCGACTTTTTTTTAGGTTTTTTCAGAAAATGGAAGAAAATATTTATTGCTGCCCCATTGAAAAATTAACCGTTTAAATGCCCTGTTGAAAACAAAGAAAAATTTAAAAAAACTTATTGCTGCCCTAACTCAAATCTTCAGTTGATGTAGCAACCTTGCATGTTCTCTCTAAATCAGTTGATGTATGTACTAAAGCCTTCAAAACGTCCTTAACCAAATTGACATCAGATTGCTAATTTAAATGCACTTTTAATGATACAAAAGCCATTTCTCAGATACTATTGTCTATTCCAACAAAATCAAGTTCAATCTGTTTAGGTCTAATAGAAAGATAAACTTGTAGGAAAGTCAAAGAGAAGAATTTGACACTAAATATACTGCTCCAACAGCTAAAGATAGGAGTAGTTCTTTGATGATAATGTTTCATAAAAAGATAAGTTGGAAAGATATTGGTATATATGTGGTATGTGGATATCCCATGCATACATGTATGTATGTATGCATGTATGTATGTATGTATGTATGTATGTATGTATGTATGTATGTATGTATGTATGTACGTTTTTTTCAAACAAAGTTTTTGAAGGTAAGGATTCCTTAGTATCAAAAAACATCTAACTTGTATAAAACCTTTTATATATATTTAAAAAGTTAATGGATCTAATGGAATGTAGACTCTTTTTAACATTTATACATAATTTTTTAGTTCTCAGCATTTAAAAACTTCATAGTTGATTTATATAGAAAAAGAAGTAAAAAAAGTCCATGTGCAAATGGCAATTATAGTTTTTCCTCAATTTAAAAAAAAATATTTACTTATGTTTTCATGAAGAAATGGTACTATGGATTTAATATAACACCTTTTTTCCTTGAGTTTTGTTTGTTTTGATTTTTGCATTCGAATTTCGATGCTTTCTTATTTTATTTTGATGCCATTACACAACCGATTTTCCATACTTAAGTCAAAGGAGCTTTGTCAAAAAATTATCAGTTTTTTCAGCAAAAAAAAAATGAAATAACTTTGGATCTACTCAACAAAAATTTGAAAGACCCCTCATATTTTAAATTTTTTTAACTATATACAACCATGTTAATCATATATAAAAATATCGGCAAAAAAAAATTTTGTGGAATAGCTATCATTGTCAAATCTTTCAGGGTCATGTGACACTCAAAAATATTTGTTTATTGTAGCGAATATTATGAATTTAATGTTACTTAATTATATAGAACACATTTAGTGGGTTTGTTCTTTATTGTTTTCCATTTTCTTAAGAACAATTTTCTCTGATTGTATTTTATTGCTAGTACATAAAAAGTGCAGGACAGAAACTTATTAGACTAGCATGCATGATCGTATAAAATACTTTTTATTAAGACTAATTTTACCATTACTAGTCTTCTTGAAAAACAGAGTTGTTTTTTTTTTACCATTGGTTTGTTACCTCATTGTGTGCCTCCTAGAAAAAAAGGACCAAAAAAAAAACAGGTAAGCAAAAAATTTCATTTAAACAGCTTTGCACCCTTTTTTTTTATCTAACAGATTAGCATAGATGTAAACATTACTAATATATATTATCTTTATTTTTACAGATTTTTTTTCTAGTTAATACATTTGGTTATACATAAAATTTTTAAAATTTTTAGGCTGACTGGAATTCTTTTTGTGATTTTCCTTGTGATGATCTTTAAAATAAAAAGACTAATAAAAATATTGTTAAATTAGTAGTTATACCTAAAATGTGCATTGAAATTTAAATGAAGTTCTTCATTTGGATCTAATGATCTTCGTACTCTAGAATGACTATCATGCAAAATTTCTTTATTATATACTAAAGGCTCGTAGTGAAGAATAGAATCGGATAATTGATTTCCTAAATTAGAATATTTACTGAATATTTTCTATTCTCTTTAATATAAATATGCTTCTTGTGTGTTTTCAACCGAAGTAAACAAAATTAACTTATATGCATGGAAACGAATTTCTTGGAAATAAAATATTTGATAGCAACCAAAAACTTACTTGAAGATTTGATACCGGCATCAATATATATAAAAAAATATACTATTAAAATATATATTATTAAATACTTCTTCATAATAAACAGTCAAACAAGTTACAAGTATTGAGATGATTTTAAGATTGACGTTTTTAAAAAATCATAGTTTGTACATAGATCTCGGTATTTGAACTTCATTAAAAAGCTTATATTTTATTGAAGTCACATACTTCCTTATTCGGATATAGTGTTAACTAATTAAGAATAAATGTTTATTGCGGTTGTGAAGGATATGAACTTTTGACAACTCTCCTCCACAATACAAATAGTTTACAAATGTACGACATTTTCTTTAAATGAATGAGACTTAAAAGTATTTTATTCAACGGTATTTCAAATTCATTTTTTTTTATTAAAGCTTAAAACCTTTTATTGCTTTGTACTTCAGCTGAATTTTTTTTGCAAATGTTTATTTTTCGTAGGCTTAGTTTAAATAGTTGTTGATCAGTCTAATTTCATAAAAATTTTAAAACTTTTATTACTATAAAAATTTACTTTTATTTTTTTCAGTATACTTTTTAATCCCCTTAGACTCTGGGATAAAAAAAGAGACACTATGGAGGTAATAACAAGACATCTCATTCTTGCTCTAGAATAATACATCTTTAATTTAGTGGTAATTTAAAAAGTACGTCAAACTCCTAGGGTAGGTTTAGACAAATAATGTAGACAACACAAAAAAGGTGACGTCGCAAAAAAAGATAATTTGTAAATTTTTTATTACTATTATTTAGTCATCAAAATAAATTTTTATTTTGTTCTCGAGATAAAATTGATTCAAAAAACTTTTGTAAAATTAAAAAACTCGCGATAAAGGATTATTAAATTTAGACAGTATTTCATTAATAAGCAAGACAATATACGCGGCGCTGTCAATCTATAACATTCGATAAATTTTGTTAAATTTTTTTTTTAAAAATTCATACACTTGTTGTCGTTTTAAGCTTTTTTCTTTATTGAAATTTTTTTTTTTAATTATCTTTTGGATAAATCATCAAAGGCTACTTGCTTTACTTTATTAAAGAAACACTCAACAGTCTAATTTTGGAACTTGACGCGCTGAAATAATTTTTTCCAGTTAACATAAATGTTAGTACTTTTAAAAGACACCCCGAAAAAATTACTTGTTTTAAACCATGTTCGTTTAAAACAAGTAATTTGAATGTAGTAGAGTGGAACGGGGCTAATTGAGCAATTTTTTACTAAATCTAACAGATCTCATGAAAGGATATACATGAAGTTTTTTTTCTGTCTGATTTACATAAAGTCTGATTTACATTAGGTTTTTCGCTTGGAAAGTCAATTTAAATCATTGGAAAGATAATTTTACCTGCTAAAAAATGATCTAGAAAAAAGTATATTTTTTGATTTATTTGAGAAGATATTGCATAAAGTTAACCAAGCGGCTCAAACTGCGCCAACGAGTTAAGTTGAGCAGCCAGCGAATAAGTAGTTATGTTAACATAACTACTTATTAAATACGGAGCTTGGATAAATCGTCAAGAAAACTATTGTTAACAGTAAGCATGTCTATAATTTATAATCTTATAATATACCTTATAATATAATCTTATAAAATAACTTAATGGCTTCAGTAAAAGAAGAGAAAAAATTGAATGGTTAGAAAGTGTCATAAAATATAAAAACATTATTTTATACAATTATATTGAACTATCTTACAATTATGTTGAACTTTAAAACCCAATTTAAAAATTACTAATTAAAAAAATATATTCATTCATAATGTAACGCGAAACTCTTTTTTATCAAAGTTGTTTCATAGTTTGGGTCGTTCAGTTTTATATGTATATATATATATATATATATATATATATATATATATATATATATATATATATATATATATATATATATATATATATATATATATATTTAAAATGAATTTTAAGAGGTCATTATTCATTCAGTTCGTAAAACTATAATTTTGTAAAAAAAAAAAAAAAAAAATTAGCTGAAATAATAAAAAAAGGAAATTGGAGATAGATATATTTATGTTTTACAGGCCGGTTACAAAACCTCCCCAATTTGATGGCTTTTTAAATGTTTTGGATGTTTTCATCAAAGAAATATAATAACTATTATATCTTTTTATCTATTATATCTTTTTATCTATTGTATCTTTTTATCTATTATATCTTTTTATAATATAATTGCTATTATATCTCTTTGTTTTCACTCAAGTTTTACATAAATGATAAATTTTTAAATCAAGGTGGAACACAGCGGACAGAAATGCTCTAAAATGTAAAAATATGTCAAATTAATTTTAAAACATACATAACGACAACACCCTAAGGTCTTCTACGAGTTTCCGTTTTCTTTTTATAAAATTAACCAACCTTGTAAACATTATATTATTGAGTTTATTGTAATTGTAAAACAGTTTTAAAGAAAGAGCAACAACAACAACAACAACAACAACAACAACAACAATAACAACAACTTTCATTCGTCGCTCACTTTACTTATTCTAAAACGCACGTATGCGAGTGCGAATGCAAGTGCGAATTGCCAGCATACATCATTGGGTTACCTTTGTGCGTTAAACCATCTAAACCGAGTTCATAAGATGATATTGATCTGATTAGTTTTTTTAAATCATTTGAAAATGTTTTTTGTTCTTGATTAAAGAGAAAATGAATTTTTTTGTTTCAAGAATCGTCTGATAAATATTTTTTTTTTATATTTCCAAGAATCATTTTGTAAAAAATATTTTTTATACTTATTTTTATATCAAAAAATTTTTTTGATATAAAAATAAATCATTTTTTTAGTATGAAACTTTTTGCTCAAAAAGCTTTGATTTTTTCATCATCATCAGATTTCAATGTAAACCTCAAACTCAAACCTCCCTTATCTTATGACGGGCATGGTAAGTTTATATTTTGGTGCTGGAGATACATGTACTTTCATACTTATGTCAAATAAGAATTACTTGTTGAAGAGCTTAGTGATAAAAGTACTTAAGTCACAAAATAAAAGTTTTGAGAAAATCTATTTTGATCAGAGATGTAACACTTTAAAATAAGGATTTAAAATGGCTGATCAAAACTTTTTTACTTTTAAGACTAAGCTCTTCAATTTGCAATTTATTTAATTTGACGTAAGCATGAATTTACACATCATCAAAAAAAAGTCTCAAAACTTACCATGAAAAGAAGTGAGACATTTGAGTTTGAGGTTTATATTGAAGACTTATGTTGACGTCATTTGTAATACAAATTACGTCACCGAAAATATTGAAATAATTGTCATGAAAAATTGTTTTAAAAACTAGACTATTATTATTCATTTTTTATATTTTAGATAAATTGTGGTTTGAATGTGAATTGAGTAAATTATAAAAACATTAAACATGAGTTGGATAAATTATGCAAACACTGATGTGAAGTGAGTAAAGTTATTCATAAGTTATTAGCTTGCTATGCTATAAAGGTTGCGTCTATAACAGAATTTTCAAAAACAATAATAAAAGAATAGCTTCGGAAGTTTCCAATCAAATCATTTGATAAACGTCAAATCATCTATTCATTTAAACAACCTTAAAACATTTGATAAACGTCAACGTCAACGTCAAATCATTTATAAAACTTAAAATCATTTAACTTACGTCAAATTATTTTTTAATTATTTTTTTGATTTTTATATAACTTTGAGCTTATCTGAAAAATGTAGACAAAATAACTGGTAGTGCAAAATTTAAAAAAATTTACAATTTTTTAAAAGTTTTCCTTACCGTAAGCAAGCTTTAAATTTGTACTTGTAACACCGTATTATATCAGAAAAAAATTATATAATTTTTTATTCTTACGTTAAAAAAACGAAAAATTTTTTTGTAGGATATTAATTGTGATAAAGTTATCACAGATTGTTATCAAGTAATCCAATTTATGGTTATTTGCGATTTACATTTTTTATAAAAATAATCTAAATAATAGTTTTAATACTTATGAGTTAAATGTTAAAAAAACAATCGACTAAATAATATTCCTGAAAAATAACATGCAAAATTTATTATCAAATAATTATAAAATTTCATAATTTTTTTGTCATATTTCCTAAAATTTCGAACTCTGTTTTGTTTTTATAAATACTACTTTGAAGAGTTATCAGTGGAGTACCTAGGGCGTATGTTGGATGCGGTCCACTCCGGACAGCACATATTTTTCGACAGCACTTTTAATATTTTTTAATATTTTTTTAAATATTTTACCTGTGAAAAACTTCTTCACTTTATTTTTTAAATTATCTTATTTTTATGAAGAATATTCGATACTGATTTTATTCAATTTTAGAAAACATTCAAACGAAGACTCGAACATTCAACACAAAATTTATATTTATTTGTGATAATTAGGAAAAATAAGAATTAGGACATTAAAGACTATATATGGACAGTCCCACCATTAGACAACAACGTTAAAATATTTATTACAAAATTATTTAAAAGAAAAAGAAAAGAAAAAAGCACACTGCAATAGCGTTAGAGTATAAAAAACTATATCCGTGGGACCCTTTTACTCATCGTATGTATAATCCAGTAAAAAAACATAAACCAGAAAAAAGGAAATCTAATATATTGTTGTTTCTTCTAAACAGTGCCGTGGCTAAAGGGTTGGCTCTCTTCTTCAAAACCAGCCATATGGGCAAAAATCTTGAAAATTTTTTTATTAGGTATTACCAGGGGTTAAATTAGAATAGTAAATCAAGTGGAATGGTGTTAAAAAGTTTAAATTGTTTGTTCAAAGGGATGCGAAATTCGGGTCATCAATTCAGCCCATCCGGGTGCGGAACCATTACGTTAAATTTTTGTGTGAGTGTATTTTTATTAGTTATACTTTTGCTGTTTTCGTGATCTCGCGTGATGACTAATATTACTTAATATTAGTCATAAATTTTATCAAAATTTAAAATAGCTAATAAAAATCAGCGCGCATAGTAAAAATGATGTACTACTTTAAAGAGATAAATTAAAAATGATGTACTACTTTAAAGAGATAAATTAGGCGTTGCATAAATAATGGACAATCTAATTGTAAAAAAGAAACGAAAAATTCAAAAACGAGGTGGAGCAGTTGCAAAGAAATATTGAGCAAAGCGCAACTATTTCTTGATTTGTTGGCTAAGGAGGAACGGCGTTTCCCTGCGTTTCTCTCTACTTTAACCCCTGGGTAT